TTCTGAAGAAGAAATCTGCTTGGACCACATGCATGCGTATTGGACCGGTCACCACTGGAGCTACACGGTTGGCTAGCCCTGGGGGCGATGCCCAGTCTTGTAGTGAGGAGGGTATGAAGATCACAGGTTCAGATCAAGCCAGTTAGGTCCACCCTACTATATGCTGGCTTCTGGGAGACCTTGGGCTAGTGACTTCACTTCTCCAGGATTCTGTTTTCTCATTGCTAAGGTGTCAGTGATAATAGTATTTACCTCAAAATGTGGCAGAGAGATAAACACACAAGTTTGGTGGTGGAAGTGGCCATGTCCCTGACCTGGAGCTGCTTAAACAATGCCTCTTACTGACTTTAGCTCCCTACGCCTTTATCAATATCAGCCCCCAATTTATTTTATTCAAAATTTTTATAAATCATTTACTATGTAACAGGGAGGTATGTTCTATGCACAACAGTATTGAGAAAACAATATTGTGACTCTAGGCTGCTGGAATTTCCCCAGCACCAGACCACCCTCTGGAAAGACTGTGTTCTGTTGCCAGGCAAGTACAAACAGAGCAGCTTGTCCCCTTCAAACTTGAGGCTTATAACTTTGCTTGTTTGTTTTTCTCTACTCCTTACCAATTGATGCTACTCCAGGCCTTTTGGGTTTGCCCAGGGATTGTCCACCCTGGCAGCTCTCTTAGTATCCTTAAGAGTTTAATCTCCTGCAGATGAACTTTCAGTAAAAGCCATCCCTGCTTAGTTTGCAAGACTGCCAGCAGTTACAGGCATCACAAGAGGGAGATATGTGCATAAAACATATCTCCCTCTTACGATGCCCTTATCACCGGTGAGGAACCTGTTCCCAAGAAAGCGAAGTCACTTGCCCAAGGTTACCCAGTAAGTGGCAGAGCTGGGGTTCAAACTCAGGCATCCTGACTTCAGAGTCTGTGCTACTAGTTACCTGGTTATGACGTCTCTTAGAATAAGTGCACTGTACATACTTATGGGGTGGATCTATCATGGGTGGATAAACATGAGCTTGAGTGAGTCCCCTCTATGAGCTACAACAGAGAAGAATATCCCCAGCCAGCTGCTCTGTGGAGGGTTTGGGAGCTGCCCCACCCAGCTCCATTCCATTACAGTAGTGTATTCTAGAATGGGCTTCAAGTTTGCATGAACAAAAGTCTTCCTGGGCTGCAGGCGAGGCCCAGTCTGTTGTGAGGGTGCAGTGGTTTTTGTGGCATTGTTTAGTCTCTCTAGAATTATGCCTTTGGACTTCACAGTTGGCTTTGAGTGTTTTGTGTGTGTGTGCACCTGACCAGGTTATCTGGGGCTGGAGCTAGAGTACCCCGTGTCTCTTCCTCCCTCCTTCTGCACATGTGCTCTCCGTCCCTCTCTGTGCTCTGGTTAGTGCATCACCTCCTGCCTGTAACCTCAGTGTCTCCAGCACTGACTTTTTGCTGCCAATGTGCACACATTCCCCAAAGCGCCGTGGCGCGGTGCCTCTGAGGGCATTACTGATTTCGACAGGTGCCATTTCTTCCCCCAACTCTCTCTGAAAAGCCCACTGTGTGTGGGGTAGGCCTGATAAATTCCTAAGAGACTTTGACCACTTTTCTGTTCTATCCCTGAAAAATAGTGCATTCTGGGGCCTATCAGGATATCAGGTTAGAATGAGACCCAGGGGAATCTTGCTTCTCACACATTCCGGAGCTTGTTTTCCTCCAGGAGGTACAAATGTTTCAACTTCCCGGCTTAAAAAGTCCTTCTGCAAAGATACTTCCCAAGGTGGCCTGAGGCCAATTAGCCATTTCTCATCATTTTACAAGGTCACTGGACTCTACAGATACCAGTCTTTCTCTTCCTTCTAAAAGTCCAAAGCCCTTTGATAGAAGCTTGAGGAGGAAGCTAGTGAGAGCCATGCTCACTATTCTACCCCTTCCTGGAACATTTCTTGTGAGGGAAAGGTCCGAGGGCCTGGACGTTTTGCCATTTGGAGGGGGTGAGACAGTGGTGACTCTTTCCCCTGCCTTTCAAATACTGTGAGAAGCACTTCGGCTTCTCTACCGAACACTGTATCAAGAACCCACTTGGTTCAACCTTTACCTTTCTGCAAGCCACTTGCTGGGCTGGAAATAAAAAGCAGCCAGGCCCAACACCCCAGCAGTCCTCTGGGAACACCACCAGGTGGGTAACCAGTGGTGACGAAGGTCGCCACCTGGAGTTCTTTCACAGGGAGGACCGCATGGTGGTGTTGAGACCCATCGCTTCCAGTCTGAGATGGAGATATTTTTAGGGACGAGTCTGAGTCTTCCTTCTTTCCCTCCCTCAGACGCTAATGTGGCCATCTGCATCTCCCAGACAACCTTCACAAGCACACATCCACCATCCTAGAAGAGGGGGCTGGGGTGGAGGTTGCTGTTAAATCCAGAATACTGAGTTGTGGCACACAGAGGTTGAGTTTGCCTGGCACGCTAAGAGCTGGGAACCTGGCTCCCACTCCTGTCCTCTGTGATGCTCACAGGTGCCTTCCCATCTCCATTTAATTTTTTATTTCTTTATTAAGTGAGGGGCTTAGATGTTTTCTCTAAGGTCTACTCTAACATTGCACAATCTTTTTTTTTCTTGGAAGATCTTAGTTGTATAAACTCCCAGACACAGAGTATGGAAAGATATCCCATGGTACTGCTCTGTCCAGAGGAGGGGGAGCTGTGACTTCGTGTCCCCATCCCTCTCCAACCCCCACCCCAAGGAGATGGCCAGCAAAGGTGGCTTGTGTGTAGTGGGGAGGGACTCTGAGCAGTGGCTCAAGCGGTCCCAGGGTTTATCTCCCTCCTTGCAGTCCATCACCTCCCAGCTTGCCCCGTATCCAAGGAAAAGCTCACCGCTCAGTCCTGAGACCCACGTAGAAAGGGTTTTCTTACCTGAGCCTCCTGAGATAAAAATGCTGGGAGTGGGATAGGGGGAGGAGGCAGAAGTCCTGGGAACCCATTGATAAGTTTTAGTTTTTGAGCTATGGAAACGTCTGTGTTGAGCAATGTTATCTCTATAAAACTTGGTTGGCTCACAGTGTTCCCGAAATAGTCTAAAATTTGTTTAATTTGGAGAACACTGTGCTATAGATAAGGTGACAGATATTATAAATATTAAAAGTAATGAAAATACAGCTTCATGTACTTCTTTTTATCAGCTGCATTATAAGTTACAAACACGGGAATCATATCCAGCTCAGAGTAGCATTTGTGCTTTGAATGAATGACCTGTCTCCATCTCTATCACCAGCACGGGTCTCTCAGGCCAAGGCCAGAAGCAAGAGGCTTTTGTCCAGTGAGGCCTTGTGCTTGGGGCAGAGGTAATACTGCTTCCTGAAACTCCTCTCTGTCTCAGCTTTCCTGTATCACTCTGTAAGTAAGGCAGGGCCCTGCTGGTCTCATCTCCTGTCTCTGACAGTGCCCAGACCTGAGGTCAACAGAATGTTTGGGCAGGCCAGGCCCCACTGCAGTTCCTTCAGAAATAGACCTGGCCTGTCTGGCACTCTAGAGGTATGGGCAGGGCTGTGCAGGCCCCAGTACCCAGTGGTTAGACATGCCGATTCTGGAATCAGATAGCTCTGAGCTCAGATCCAGACTCTAATTCTTATTAACCATGTGACCTCGACAAGTTACTGTACCTCACTGAGTCTCAGTTTCCACATCAGTAAAAGGGGATGATAATAAGAATGCATGCCTTACAGATCCATTGTCAGGATTAAATGAGAAAAATGTTCAGAAAGCACCCCATCAACTGACATCACAAGCAAAATTCCATCAGAGTCGAGAGCTGCTCTCTGAGAGTAACTGCTGGCAGTCTTGCAAACTAAGCAGGGATGGCTTTTACTGAAAGTTCATCTGCAGGAGATTAAACTCTTAAGGATACTAAGAGAGCTGCCAGGGTGGACAATCCCTGGGCAAATCCAAAAGGCCTGGAGTAGCATCAATTGGTAAGGAGTAGAGAAAAACAAACAAGCAAAGTTATAAGCCCCAAGTTTGAAGGGGACAAACTGCTCTGTTTGTACTTGCCTGGCAATAGAACATAGTCTTTCCAGAGGGTGGTCTGGTGCTGGGGAAATTCCAGCAGCCTAGAGTCACAATACTGTTTTTCTCATCACCCAACTCTGCCTGTCCTACTCCCTACTGTGTCAGCTCAGTTCCAAAGACATTTATTTGATGCCTACTTTGCGTCAAACTTGTGATGAGCCCTGGGCCCTAGAGGTGCACAAGACATAATTTCTGACCTTGTGACCTTTGTTTCATATCCAAGGTGTTTGCAGTATTTACAGTTTGCAAAGCCGCTTCACACACCACTAGGCCTCACCCCATTTACACTGCGTTATCTGTGAATGGTGCTTGGGGAACTGTATTTTCTGTGAATGGTGCTTGGGGAGGGGCAGAGCAGAGATTAGAGTCCCCACTTAACAGCTAAGAACAGAGGGTTCTTAGGTAACATAGGTGATCTGTGTCACTTCCCCACTTCCCACCAGCTTTACCGTAAGCAAAGGCAGTCCAAGTGAGCGAGCTAGTAGGACTTGCTGAAGCCCAGAGTGTTCAGGAGGTAAAGCACAGAGGTAGGCCCACAGTCAATACTGGAAGTGCTTCCCCGAGTCCAAAGGGTGCGATGGGGCTTGCTTTCCAGCTACCTAGACTCAGGAGCTTGAGGCCCAGCCCTTGCCTCTCCCCTGACATTATAATACCAGCACTTGGGTTTTCATCTCACAGCGCCACTATGCCCCTCCCACATAGGCCCTCCCCACTGGTCTCAAACCTGCACAGGTCAGGGTGGAAGCGTAAGCGGCTACCTGAGCTCTGGCCCCAGCTGTAGCCCACGTGCGCTAGCAGCAGCCGCTGTGACAGCTGGCCCCGCAGGGGCGGAGCGGGTGGGGTGCGGGGGTGGGCCCCGCGCCGCTCTGCCATTGGTCGCAGCCCAGGCCCGTTGCCCTGTCATTGGCAGCGCCTCTGATGGGGGAGGCGCCAAGCTCCGTGGGCAGCGCGGCGCAGAACTGCGGGCGCTCGCCCAGGCTACTCTTGTGCGGATCCGTCTTGCTAGCTCCTAGCTCCGCAGGCTGCCTGCGAGTTCTGACTGCTGCGCCCGCTACCCAAGGCGAAGGCAGGAGCTGGCTCTAGGCTCAGTGGCCAGCGCAGCTCTCGGTAAGGCTGGACAGCATTGGGCTCCGGGGCGGGCTGCGGGACAGGCGTGTTTGGGGGCCGTGCCAGCAGAGCCTGGACTCTGCGCCCCAGCCGGCACCCCGGAGGGTCAGGTGCAGCTGCAGCATCTTCCGCCTCAAACCCATCGGCGCCTGTCTAGCAGGTGGCTCCATCCAGGAGGCCAGGGCTGCTGCTATCAGTCTCTGAACAGATTAGAACGAAATAAAAAGGTAGTTCCGTGCCCAGAACTACCTCTTACTCTGCCCGCCAACACCCGAACCCAGGCAACTGTAAGCCAGAAAATCCCCGAACGTCAACGTGGAGTGGGTGCAATGCGCCAGTGGGTGCAATCTTCCTGCCACCAGGGCGAAAGATTATCCCCAAACTTTGCTACCGAAAATTTGGGCTCCGTGCCTTTCACATTCTCTCCTGGCTTTTCACGGTCCTCCTCTCTCCCCCTCCCTCCTTAACAACAGGAAGTGAAGTTGGGTCAAATGTCAGTGTTCTGGTCTGGGGCCAGGGCCGAGCTGTAGCGGTGGTCCGAGGGGCCGCGCGCCCCCCAGCAGCCCGCGCTCGCCCCAGGCCCGAAAGCACCCCTGCCAGGGCATTAGCAGTGCCCACCTGGCGGTGCCCGACTGGCCCTTGGGAGAAGTAGGGTCTTGCCGGCAGCCTCTCCAGCCGCTGATCTGGCTTCCAGGCTGGGGCAGGTGGGGTTAAATTTATCTTAGCCTAGCCTCTCGGCAGAGCTGGGAACTGCCTTTGTTGGATGGGGAAGAGGCGTGTTGAAACCAGAGTAAACGTGTGCCTCCTTCCACGTTGTTTATTCTGAAGCCTGGGTTCTTAAACCCTAAAAGCTTTTATTTGGAGGTTCACTGGGCTCTATAGGGTAGGGGTCCTTCAGCAGCATGCGGACCCTCTCGCTGTCAGTCTTGCCTGCCCACTTACAGTCTTCAGTGGCTTAAGGGAAGGGTGAAATCACTAACCAGCCCCCTTCTGGGTAGGTTCCTCGGGAATAAAGCCAGCGGCAGGTTGGCCCTGCGGACGTTTGCATTCCTGGGTGCCCTGACACCTGTGCTAGTTCTATTCCTGTCCCTTTCCCAGGGGAAAAGGACCCAACAAGCAGGCTTCAATTCTCCAGGGCTGCTCATCTGGTGCTCTGGAGACTCTAATGGCAGTAGGAACTCACCTTTGGGCAGAGAGAAGACAGATTTATTAAGTGCCTGCCAGGGGACAGGTCCTGCTGTGTGGTACTTTTGCAGCCAATTTCATGGTTACTCCAAAAATTCAGAGTTTTGCCCTCCTCATGTTAGAGATGGGGAAACTAAGGCAGATGAGTGCCCATGGTCAGACAGAACGTGGCTGAGCCAGGGTTTAAACCAGGCCTAGCTTTGCCAGAGCTAAGACCAGCGCTTTCTTGTTGCCCCAAGGCTGTGGGATATGGTGTGCCCTGCTACACGATCCTGTGTCCTGCTGCATGTGCATGGCCCTGCTATGTCCTGACTGGAGGCTCCCGGTCTCTGAAAAGATTCTGTCTAAAGATTCAAGGGCTGCTTTTTTGGTAAAGCACTTGAACTGACCCAGGTTAGCCCAGATTGTTCATCCTGTGGCCCCTTGCCCCACCCTGTCCTCCAGTCAAGGGTGATGGCTGGTGTCTGTCATGCTATGATGGGAAGGGATCGACTGCTGGTGTTTGGGTGCTATTTGGAGGCAAAGCTCGCCTATGCCATGGATATGATCTCACCTCTGAGAGCTGGCTTCTGGGATGGTCAAAGAGAACCGTGTTAGCTACAATAACCTCTACTTTAGGACTGATTCCAGTTTTGTTTTTATTTTTTGGGAGGGAGGAAATGTGTTGGAGTGTACCAGTTACGGTTATCAGGTGACTGAAAATTACAATTTGAGCACACCTTCATAAGAAATGACATTACTTTTATCTCTGCACTTTCCTTCAGGACCAGGGCTCTGGCTTTCTATCCATCCCTCCCTTCTAAAAAAAGTCACCATTAGCTTACTACCAGTCTGTGTTGGTTTGTTTGTTCCCTCCTTCCTTCCTTCTTTCCTTCCCTCCCTCCCTCCCTCCCTCCCTCCAGAGAAGGCCTGAGACTAACAATAGGTGTGTGCGCGTGTGTGCATGCGTGTGCATGTGTGTGTGTATTAGGGGTGGCAACCTAGTGAAAGACTTAAACATTTTTTTTCAATCACAGTTGACATACAGTTTTATTTATATTAGTTTCAGTTGTACAACATAGTAATTAGACATTTATATACCTTATGAAACGATCACCCCAATAAGCCTAGTACTCACCTGACACCATACATAGTTATTACAATATTATTTATTGACTGTATTCCTTTTGCTGTACTTTATAGCCCTGTGACTATTTTAATAACACAACCAGTTACACTTTAGCATAAATCAGGCTGGTTTGTAGCTATGGTCATTCAAACCCATTCCCTGCAGCTTCAAGGAGCAGAGGAACAGGTAGGGTAATCCTTCTCTGCCTGGTATGGGGTGTGTCTCTGTTCTCTCCACCCATGTCTACACACCTGTGTGGATGTACCTCCCAGTCATGGGCCTGCCCCTTTTACTCCCTACTACTGACAATAGAGGTCCTGCCATCTTGGTGGAGAGGCTTGACCCTGAAGGGAGGGGTGGGGTAGGAGTGCAAGATTTGGACTGAACATTGCTAATGTTTGAAGCCCTCCCCAGACTAAGGGTCTCCGGTGTTTAAAGAGCCAAGAAATAGAATACTGTTTATCATGCTGGGACTTTTCATTTTTTTATATCTTTAGGTACCCACATTAGCCCTCTGAAGAAGTAGGTAGAGTTATTCCCATCTGACAGATGAGGAAACTAAGACTCAGAAAGGTTACATCTTGCTCCTATCACACAACTGGTGAGCAACCATGCTAGGATCCTGGACTTGACTTTGTGAGGGAGGGCTGCGTGGTGAATTAGACACCAAGGAGAACAGGGAGACTTTGTGGCCATCCTCTGAACGCTGGAGGTTTGGTGAGCACAGCCCCCTGCTGTGCGCACTGTCTCCCACCTTACACTGTATAGTTGTCCTTGCTCAATGCAGTTGATCAGTTCTGTGACTCTAAGTGAAATAATATATAGTGAAACAAATGTGCTGCAAGCTAATTGATATAAGGAACAGTTAGGTTCCTATGTCATCTCATCAACATTGCAACAAAACTACTTGGAATGAAACGACCTTATTCAAGAACCTGCTGTAATTATTTGTGAATGTGTTTTCCCACCCCACTAGGAAATATCATTTAAAATATTCATAAACTTGGCAGGTTTATTTTCTAGTTCTCACAAATCCTCTTTGTTTTGTATTCCCTTGGTTTTTATGCCTGTCTTTATTAGGATATCCTAATAAAGGATATGTGCAGTACACATGATGTACTGCAGCCTATTTAAAAATGCCATGAATATTTTCAAACAGAGAGATAGAATAGTATAATGAGCCCCATATACTCATTATCCAGCTTCAACAGTCATCAAGATTTCAAGATTATGCCAAGCTGGTGCTCCCTCCCTCTCCCTCCCTCTCCCTCCCTCTCCCTCCCTCTCCCTCCCTCTCCCTCCTTCTCCCTTCTTCTCTCTCCCTCCCTCCCCCTCCCTCTCTTCCCTCTCTTCCTTTTCTTTTTCTTCCTTAGGTATTTTAGAGCAACTCTTTAATGTTATGTCATTTCCCCCTAAATAATCTAGCTTATATCTATTTTAGAAAGAATGATATCTTTCATACCACATGGCCCTTATTGCATGTAACAGAATTAACAGCAGTTCTTTGCTCTCATCTGTCCGTGTTCAGAGTTCCCTGATTGTTTGAATCAGGATCCAGACAAAGTCTATGTACTGGATTTGTTGTTAGACCCTTTGCCTATGTTAATCTGGAGCAGCACCCACCCCGCCCAACCCTGCTTTTAGTCAGCTATTACTCTCTGTTTTAAGTGCCCGTCTCCCCCACCGGACAGTGAGCCTCTTGAGAGTGGCGTTGGCGTCTCTGCCATGCTGGATCTCAGTGTCTGGGATGGGGTGGAGGCTCCCTGAGCATCTGTCCACTCGTGCCCTAGCCAGTCAGGGAATTCATTTTGAATGAATGAACCCTGTCGTGGCTTTGTGTGACTGCCTGTGCCCGTGTTTAGATAAGAGGTTTTTAAAAAGATGACTTGCGTGTCAACTTTCCTCAGCATACGTCAGTCTGTAAACATCCTGAAATAATAGAACTGTTCATTGCGTTCACCCAAGCTGCTCTGGTTTGTGGTGGGGAGCCCAGACAGCCACATTTGTGCCCTGATCAGCAACTGGTCTCCCCCACGTCACGTGTGGTGCTGACAGGGACTGAGGTCACTTTTTGCCTGAGCTTTGAATCCTGGCTTACTCATCCACAGGGATTCCACGTTATGACCCAGACCCTTGGCATTCAGACTTGAAGGAGAACACTATCTATCTCTTTCTTTGTCCTCTCTCTCTGGACAGTGCTTCTTCCCTGGTGCCTCCATGAGCCTTCTCTGACCTGCCTCACACCTGGGCGAGCTGAGGAATCTTTCTCAAATCATTATGCAACTGCAGCTGGCGGGCGGTGACAGAAAAACGAACGCTTGATTGTTCAGTGTCTTGTCTGAATTGTGGGGAAGAGGTGGCACCACCACGGGCACTACTGTGGGAGTCCCCACAAGGCAGACCAGAGGCTTCAGAGGGGAGGGAAAGGTGCACTTCCCTTCCTCAGTAAGGAGCTTCCCAGCTGAGTCCTCATTCAGTCTCCTCGGGGTGCCGGGCACCCTCATAGTCCCCTTCTCACCCACCCAGCAGGGACCTGCCTTTGCAAACAGCCCCCAACTAAGGAGGTTCTTTTTTTATTCCTTGGCTTCCTCCTCCTCCTCTTCATTATTCTTCTTAATCATAGACAGCCTTTTTTACTTGTTATATTTGGCAGAAATATAACAAAATGTAAGTCTTTCTCTCTAGATGGCAGGACCAGAGTTGATTT